CCATGTCAAGTGTCAAAAGGCATCCATTTTCACTGTGGCTGCATTTTTAAAAAGGGAGGGGGAGGAAGAGCTGTTGGTTCTTTTGTTTTTTATATATAGTAAGTACGTTTTATCCTTCATCTCTCATAACCTTTGTGTGATAGAGTGCTGATAGCTACCTGGTGAGCCAGCACTCTGATTGCTTAGGTGTCAGTCAGCTCCTCTGGAGAAATCTGATTGGAGATTTTCTTCCACTATTTGATCTGAGGAAGTGGGTCTGGCCCACGAAAGCTCATCTCCTATTAAACCATCTTGTTAGTCTTTAAAGTGCTACATAGTTCTGTTTTTTGTTTCTGATTGGGGATGCGCAGTTAGCTGGTTGATCAGGCTGGGAGGCTGAATGGGCCAATTAGGTTATCCGCTGAGGGGTAGAAGATCACAGGGAGGAAGCAGGAGATGGTAAGAATGAAAAAGTAAGTAACCAGGACTAGCTGAGATCTCAAGGAAGGAAACCTCATCTCTCCCTGGCCCTTTGGGAAGGGGCTGTAGGTAGACAAGTACTGTAAATAATATTCCTGCCTGGGACTATACTGGTGTTGTTGATGGGAACATAAATAAATTACATGGACTATGCCTGAGAGGCTCCTGGGGCATGTGTTACACTATAAAACAGCAAAAGCCCTTTTCCTCACACCTTAAAAATGAAAGGACCATCGCGGTTTAAAACTTTTGAAGTTTATTTTAAAACTGCTATTCTTTTTTAAAAAATTACAAGTTTGATGAATAAAAATAAAACATATACTGACTTTTTAATAAAGATCACTACATAAATCAATACAAGAACATGAAGAGCACATAATATGGGTTTACGGCTCCAGCCAGTCTTTCTGAATGTGTATAAATTACACTGAGAAAACAGAAACTTTGTTTCTAATCGTCATATCATAAAAAATGAACTCGAGAGTTTGTAGCCTGGAACACAAAGCTCGCTTGGCATGCTGCTGTGGAATAGCTTGTTTCAGGATGGTGTTCATCACCTACCTCCTACTTCAGACTTTTGGCACAGATGAGTTTGCAATTCTATCAGAAAGTGTTATGTGATTAAAGAGGTCTTTTTGAGGGGAAATATTGGCTATAATTCTTAGAAGCAAGACCAGGTGCTTATCTTAACTGGATGTCTTTTGTTTAGAGACTCAACTGATGTTAAAAATTTGGGATCGCTTTTATTATAGCAGGATAATATAACACATGCAACATTGTATAGATTCTGTATTACATATTTTATTTACTCGTCAGACTTAAATTGCTCTGAGTATTGTTTTAGCTTCAGTGTGACGGTTCATGCAATCATCGTGACCATTTTAATTATAGATTGCATTTTCTAGATCATATTTAACTTAGTTTAAAAAGTTTACTTTAGGCTGAATCCTTTGGCTCTCGAAATTGATTATTTTTTAAATATTTGGAAAAAAGATTTTCAATTTTATTTTTATTTCCTAAACTAGAAGATTTTGTAACTCAGGTCCTTAACTCAATTATTTTTTGTTTTTCTTCATTTAAATCATTATTCTGGGGTGGGGCTTGAGATGAGGGGTTTAATGCAGACTTCCCTGGGGAGAGACGATCAGCCTTCTTTCATCTCAGCGGCTTGGGGCTAAGGGAGAAGCCCCTCTTCATGGCCATTGCAGTTCCAGAGGGCACAGCTGGGGGAGAGGTACATGTCCCCCAGCTGGGACAGATCCAGGTTTGTCTGCCCCTGTATACTCCAGGAAGAGTGAGGAATGCAGCAAACTGTGTGCTTTCCCCTTGCTCCCATACACATAGGGGAAGAAGGCTGAAGTCCCCTCCCTAAAGGGTGCCTGTGGGGTGTGGACTTGGATATGGGGTAGTCCTGGACCCAGGAGGGGACATGTCCCCAGCAAACCCCTTTTAGCTGCCTCGTGATTCTTTTCTGTATGGATTTATGCATTCCCGTATGAATTATGGAGGAGAGGAAAGCTTCAACCCTTCTCCTCCACAGCCAGACCCTTATCTTGCTTCAAGTTATGATGATAGGAAGCTGCATACCAAATTTGGTGATCCTATCTCTTGCCATTTATGAGGAGCTCTTGAACAAATAGATGGACGCACAGACAGACAAACAGACAGACTTGCTTGCTCGCTCACAGATAGACAAACTCTCTCAAATATCTGGTAGATGAAAAAGTTAGAAAGCTGAGGGACATTTTGAAAAGTGAGAGTTACAGAATTACTTTTCCTTTTGTCACTAACCTTTTCTACAGTAGGAGGAATGGGAAAAGGAGTACAAATGTGGAAGAACCTGTAGATTAGACATTCTACTATATTCATTGGCAAAAAATGAGAAAGACGAGACGTCAAGAAAAATACAACAATCAAAGCCAAAGTGTTTATTAGCCTGGCATTTAGCAAAGTACAAAGTCAGCTCTTCTCACAGGAACAATTACATTTCTTAAAATGACAGTCCCACTCTCTCTCACACTCTGAAGAGGAAATAATATCTGCAATATGACATTTATATAATGATGTATATGCTGTATTTTTCTACTCTCTCAAAAGGCTAGAGAGTGAAAGTCTGAGTCTTCAGCCTGATAAGGCACTTGCTTGGGATGCAGAAGATCCCATTGACTCGGACAGAGCAGATCAGGGGCAAAGGGGCCTCCATGGGCTGGATGCAGCCTACCAAGCGGGATGATCTGGCCTGTGGCCACCCTCCTGCTCCCCCATCCCCAGGCCCATCAGACCTGAGGATGGGGGAACGCCTGAAGTCTCCTCCCACTGCCAGGGGTGCACAGCATCAGAGGGAACCATGTGCCCCTGACAGGGCAGGGTGGGGGAGACAGAAACAATGTCTGCTCCCCTACGCCCAGGCCTTTCCCAGTGGCTGAGAGGTGTGGGGAGGGGAGGTGAAGCGTGGGGAGGAGACAGCCTCCTTTTGACCCCTCTCCTGATGCTTCTTTCTTTCCTTCCTTCCTCCCTCTCTCCCCATTGGCCTGTGGGAGGAGGGAGCACGCAAAGTCTCCTCACAGCGCAAGAGGCATGTGGTGCCCAGAGGGAACTGTTAGCTGTTGAAAACAGCCAGTGGTTCTCTATAGGCGCCGGGCACCCCTGGCAGGGTGGGGGACAAAAACTTCATGTGCTCCCCCACTCCCAGGCCAATCAGGGTCTGTGGGTGAGGGAGCACTCGAAGTCTCCTGGCCCCATCCCTCCTGCCTGAGGCCCCACTCCTTCCAGGGTGGCCGACGACCACTTCCAAAATTCGCAGTGCCCCCCCAAAAAATGATTGCCCACCCCTGCAATAGATGCTTGGCTATTCTGGAGTAGGTGGGGTTTTCATTTCCCCCTCGTCCCCCAGACACAGATTGAAATTTCTGATGATGAACCAAAGCAAACCGCAAAACCTCAATTTTATGCAAAGTGGAATTCTTGGGTTGTGATGAGCCCTACCCATACCATTATGACACTTAAAGAATGGGGAAAAATATGAGACTTTCTTGTAAAATTGTATCTAGGAAATTAAAATTCATTCCTGAGCCTCCCAAATGGTGTCTTGTACTCAGCAATTGTGCTCTTCAGTGGTTACAAATGGATGTTTAGGATTGAATGGTTCAGAACTGTAGAATATGCAAACCAGCCCTCTCCCATGCTGGAGGCTCCTTCGCAGCGTTTGTGGTCTTTGGCATCTGAACAAAGTGGAGAGGTTCAGCCCTTCGCATAAACGCTAGATAATAAGAAACAGTCCAATACCTGATGGACATAGCATCTTGAAGAACAGATTTGTGAATGAGTGAGTGGATTGCTGCTCTAATTTCTACTGAGTGATAACATGAAGCAGACAGTTTAACTTTTACCTCCTTGGGTGCCTACAGAAGCGAGTCTGTCCAGAGGAAGGAGAGTTCTGTCTTTCCAGACTTCTGTCCCTTTCCTTGCCCCCCTTTAAGCCTCTTTATGAGTTTCCAATTCTGTGGCAATGAAGGAATTGGGTCAGGGGCTCATCAGGGAAGCCAACCAAGCCTTTGTGAATTTGCCCTCTCACTGTCAATCCTGAGCTGAGAGAGCACAAGAAGCTGGTGTTCTGAAGCTGTATTAACTTTTGCAGGGTTAGCTCTGTAGCACCATTTTAATAGGGGGGAATCCAAGGTAACTGTGGCAGGAGCACTCCAGGTAGAATGGCTCCACTGGAGACTAGAGAAAGAGGGGCATTTGATGCCAGTGCTACTGAAAGAGAAGGAAGAAGAAATCAGAAGAGCATGAAAATCCCAGGGAAAAGAGTGGAGGATGAGAGGACATGTTCATGGCTGAGAAGGATGCATGAGACTAGTGTCTTTTCTGCATCTGCCGCCTCAAGGAGGAGTTGTCCTTTTTAAATTTATTCTAATCAATCACTTTGACTAAACAGGAGAGTTGTTTTTGTGTTTGAACAAGAGGGCTGCGTCTAGACTGGCATGATTTCGTGCAAATACTTTTAATGGAAAATTTTTCTGTTAAAAGTATTTGCGCAAGAGAGCGTCTATACTGGCATGTGCCTTTGCGCAAAAGATTTGCTTTTGCACAAAAGCATCCATTCCAGTGTAGACGCTCTCTTGCACAAGAAAGCTCTGATGGCCATTTTAGCCATCGGGCTTTCTTGTGCAAGAAATTAACTTGGCAATACTTGCCAAGAATACTTGTGCAAGAGGGCTTATCCCTGAGCTGGAGCATCGGAGTATTTGCGCAAGAACCACTGATTTTGTACAGTACAAAGTCAGTGTTCTTGAGTAAATGGTCGTGGCCAGTGTAAACAGGTGGCAAGATTTTGAGCAAAAGCAGCCACTTTTGCACAAAATCTTGCCAGTCTAGATGTACCCAAGGTGAAAACTGTGTAACTCTTGATTTAGTCTGAGAACCACTCATCCAGCCTACTTCTGCAAATTAAACACCACACATGGACTAATCTGTATAAAGGGTTCTCGACCTTTTCTTTTTTGCTCAGTCACCCCCTAACTTTATTTTTTTGCTTGCAGCTCCCCAACTCCTTACAAAATGGGACTTTCCAATGCAATCCAAGTTTATCATCTTCACAGAACAGAGCAGTGAACTGAAGAAAACACCTGAAAATTAACTGTAAGTGATATTCTATGAAAGGGAAAATAAACACATCTATAAAAATATATTGATTAGGGCTGCCAATCACAATATTGCAAGCTCAAAACAAATTAACTCAATGAAAAAAACATTATGACAGGGAAGCGCCAAGTCCATCCCAACCAGCAGGAGCAGTCTAATATAATAACTTCATTCATACCAAGGGACGGAGTGGGGAGGGGGGCGGGGGACTGTTGCGTTACTCACATCAGTATAGTTAAAATGGCAAAAAATGTCTAGTATTGACAAGTCCTTAGAGAATCTTCCTGCTGGTAAAGACAGCAAATGGCACAATGGGAAATACTTAGAAAATGTATCATTTGGGGAGTGTAAAATAATGCAGCTTGTCTCTTTGAGCAGAGTGTATCCCCATGACGTAGCTCATCTATCTCTGTACCATACGTTTTTATTCTTCATTTCTGAGAGCTGTCGCTATCTGTATGAAATGTAGCTCTCTTTATTGCAGTTTCAGATCACAGAAACACTGCCATGAATCACAGCTGTAACATCTGGAATCACTGCCAGAAAACTCTGCTAATAGACCCCCTAGAAACCTCTCCTGGGATGGGTCGGTGACCACAAAGAATGGGATAAGCATAGAGGGCAGAGGTTTTCCCCTGTCACTTTGGCACTTCCTGTAGTTTGTGAACACACCAAACCTCAGCACACTATGGGCCTGCTCCCTATGGAAGTCAATGGTAAAAGTCTCACTGTCTTCAATAGCGCAGGATCAGGGCCTATGTCACTTGAGCAGTATGTCACTTCACAGCGCTGTTTATCCAAAGTTTTCATTGGTGGGACCTGAAAGAATGGATCATAGTGCTTATTTTGGCATCAGAATAGGGGGCCTGGCTAGAGGGACCGATCCCAAATAGTTTCCCTTGTGAGTGCTCAACATTGCTATAAACAAACAAACAATCAAACAAACAGGTCACTTTTTATGTTCTTAAATATGGACATTAGAGCCTAAGTATATGAAAATTAATCTTCATGTTCCTAAAGTACACTAAAACTTTTAATACTCTTCATCAGCTTGGAGGGGTCTAAAATTTCATCACCCTATTAGCAGATCCTCCTAACTCTTCCCAGACCAGACAGCCTTTTCAAGGAATACAGTGTTAATGGCCACCGTATTGATTACTATTCACAGAGGAAAACCAGAAGCAGGTGTTAATCTAATAAAATGATAATTTACTGCCACAAATTAACTGTGGGGTTATCATAGTTCATAACAGTCAATTATACAAATAAATCTGGAAACATTCACTTTCCTAGAGGGCACATTTGTTATCTCTTATATTGTTAGTACTGAATAATAAAATAAATATATTAAAACAGTCATATAGGGTACATCTACACTGCGGTGCTATTTCAGGATACTTCTGGTAACCCAAAACAGCTATTTCACGACTTTTAAATGAGCCCATAATTTCAAAATAGCTTTCAAAATAATGGACTCACTATTTCAACATCCTGGTAAACCTCGTTCCAAGAGGATTAAGGGATGTTTCAGAATAGCACTCTGTTTCGAAATACTCTCAAAATAAGCTACACAATTTGCATAGCTCAAATTGCATAGCTTATTTTGAGCTACGGGTGCAGTGTAGACCCACCCCTAGTGACAAATTCACAGAACTTTCCAAATAGTTTATCCCATATACTTTAAAATCAACCATTTTCATCACTGTTTGGTCACAATACTATGAACTGGGACAAAACATTTTAAAAAACAAAGTTTGAGAAATTGTTCTGTCCTGTTTCTGGCCACTAAGAATAGAACTATTTCACTATTTCAGAATGTGCACCGCATGATTCCTTGAGATATTTTGACAGCACAGAGTAGCAGGAAGTGAACTGTAATATGGTTTATTGTTCGTGTTATGGTAGAATCTAGAGGCTTCAAAATGTGGTACATGGATCAGATGCAATCTCCTGGATGCCTTGCATATAACATGGAAGTATGGTTTGTTGAAACTACAAGTTCCAGCAGGAGGGGAGGATGCTCAGGTAAAGACTTCCTATTGCATTTATTAGCATTTGGAATAGTTCTGAATGCCATCTCTTGAAAATTAGACAGACAATCAAAGCTCTAGAACTATTGCAGGGAACAACTCTATGCTAACAGTGGTCTTCCAACTCCAGTGTCTCTCTCTTTTATTATTTCTAGTTAAGAATTTATGGGAGAATGTATGACATTTATTTATAGGTTTTTCTCTTTTCCTCAGAATTTGGTGTTATTTGAGCTTTTAAAATATTAACTGAAGGTTTGAGTTCAGATTTTGAATCCTAATTTTACCTACCATGTTCCACAATTATCTAGTCTTGTACAAGTTGAACCTTAATCTATCTTTAGATTAAGGTTCAACTTGTACAATCCTCCGGAATAAAGCCCTTGAAAGTAGGAATAAGAGATCCTCCGGAAAAGGGCTGCCAGTCTAGATGCTTTTTTTCCGGCTTTTCCCCAAGCCGGAAAAAAAGCGGCGGACATGTTTATTTAAATCTGCGGGGGATATTTAAATCCCCCGCGGATTTCCCTATGCTGACTTACCTGCTTTTCATCCCTTTTCCGGAATTTGGGGCCAATCTAGACGTAGCCCAGGGGTCTAGCCAAAATAGGCATTGCTCTTTAAACATGGATTTTCCCCTTTGTTTCTGCAGTCTGGAAAAATAGATTAAGAGTCCGGCCAAAGCAGGTATTATCTTTTTGGATGTATAAATATGTTCTTTCCCTTCCTTCTTGCAGCCTAGAAAGATAGATAAGTGTGCAGCTGCTCTTCTAAGTTGTGTCTTTTACTTCCCCTCATTGGCTCTGTATAAAAAATTTTCAGGGTTAGTTTTCTTGTAATCTCTGTAATCTGCTGATTCGGAAAGTTTGTAATGTAGAAAAGTATTGATTTAATTAGAAATTCTGTAAATAGTGATTAATGGTGGGTATAATAATATTCGTCATCTGCCCATAAATATTCATTGTATGGGAGCGAACATACTAAATAAGGTTTATGGGAAAGTATGTTTGATCTGAGGAAGTGGGTCTGGCCCACGAAAGCTCATCATCTAATAAACCATCTTGTTAGTCTTTAAAGTGCTACATTGTCCTGCATTTTGCTTCTATGGGAAAGTAGTAATAGATGTGTTAATTAACATACTAAAATAGATAAAAGGGTGTAATTGTTGCCAAATTGTTGCCATTCAGAACGTTGCGTTGTGGGTCTGAGGTTACTGTGCGTAGGCAATAAAGTAGTTCCATTTACTCCATCTGCTCCTTGGTCACCTGTTTCTTCTCTAACACAACCCTATTTCAGTGTCCCTGAAGTACTGTAGAACCCAATAAAGTCTGAGATGGATGGAACACCCCACTATGGACACTTGAGTTTGTTTCCCATCATGAATGGATCCCCTGAGCCCATTCCACAAATGATTCAACAGTTAGTTATAAACCACAGTCACTCTCTGTGTCCCAGCTGTAAGAGCACCAATCTGTGTATCTGAATCACAACCAAGCAATTCTGGAAAACCACCAAAAACATGACCTTTAATAGTGGACCTAGCATTGCTTTCACATATTTTCTTCATTTTCTTTGTATTTACCCTTGCTTAAGATGATGCAAGAAAACAAGTCTATGAAAAATATAAATCATTAACTAAAGATTTAGCAGAATTTATCTCAATATATTCTGGAACGCTGCTGTTAATATTTCTTTACTCTTGATGCTAACTGGGTGGCCAGCCATTTACTAACAAGGAAGCAAAATATTGGATTTAGTTATTAAACTAAGGAATGTGGGGCCTAAATAGTCTAGCTGAATTAGTTTTTAAAGAGCTACTTGGGCATTAACTTGTAGTGATTCTAACTCAATGATAGAAGAACAGTTCATTACCAAATGGAATGTACTCATAGGTTATCAATACATGTTTTGAAAGGGCAAGCAAGGAGAAAGGAAAGGTTTATTATACTGTGACAGGTCGGAAAGACATGAGCACTTAATAGTGAAACTGTCCTGTCAGTCCCCAAACAATGATGCTGTGATGAGGTCACAGAAGACTCCTTGGGGTGCCTCCTGGAGTGTTGACAAAGCTACTGCCACTCACCTTCCTCCTCTCTGGGGCTTCTCATTGCCTGGTCCTTCTGGGCTAGCTCCCTTGGTTTCCCCCAGCCAAGGCACCAAGCTGCGATTACTGCCCCCTGCCCCTCTCTGAAGCAATGCAGACACTGAAACTCTTCAGGTCTAAGGAAAGTGCAGTTTAGGGCCCAGCTTCCTGGGATCCCACTCCCCACATGGGTGAGAACCCCAAAGGAATCTTTTAGGCAGGCCCCCTTTGGCAATGAAAGGGGGAATTGTACACACTGATTGTTCCCCCAGGTAACAATGATTTACCCTGGGCGTGATAGAAAATAAAAGTGATTTTATTAAATACAAGTAGTAGGATTTAAGCGGTAATAAGTGAGAACAGGCAGAGCAAAGTAGATTATAAGCTCAAAACAACAGAAAATGCTTAGCTAACTCTAACACTGAAACCTCAGTAAACAAACTTATTACAAACTCACCCTAAAACTGTTTCTTTTCCAGCTAAGCCTTCCAAACCAGTGCTGTTCTTCCCCTGGAGTCTTTGGCTCCTTCCTTTGAGTGTGCCAGCCAAAGACAAAACACTCTTACTTTCCTGTTGTTTTTAAAGATTCCCTTTGCATGGGAAGTCACCTGGCCCTTCCCTACCAACCACTGCTAAGACTTAAGGACAAAAGGCTTTTTGCATATGATTGCCCAGACACTGAGTCATCCCAAAAGTGGAATCACCCTTGATGGCTTTCCATTTACACATTTAAAATCATAAAGCATTTCATAATCCACAGGTCTAACTTTACACACAAGAACAATACATACACCAAAATAAGATAAACAGATCCAACGGATTAAGAGATTAAAATTGATAGGTTACATGAAGCTATTTGTTGAAAGCATCTTTGGGTTATGTATATTTGTGTCGATACTTTCAAAAAAGCCTCTTTCGAAAAAGAGCATCTAGACTACAACTAGTACTTTTGAAAAAGCAAGCCGCTTTTTTGAAAGAGAACACCCAGGCAGTCTGGATGCTTTCTTTTTAAAAAGCAGTTTGCATTACATAGCGCCTTTTTTCGAAAGAGCACTTTTGGAAAAAAAGCATTCTTCCTCCTAAAACGAGGTTATCCACGGTCGAAAAAACTGCCGCGTTCTTTCGATTTACTTTCAAAAGAATGCGGCAGCAGTCTAGACGCAGGGGAAGTTTTTTAGAAAAAAAGGCTACTTTTTTTTTTAAAAAAAAAACCCCTGTAGTCTAGACACACCCCTACTGTGATTAGAGATACAGAGACAGAGCTGTATTGCCCAAGAGATCAGCTTTGAGTGGTGTTGGGTTAGCAATCGGGTCAGTACTCGGTGCCGGGCTAATGAAAGGTGACCTTTATTCAGGGAGCAAAGAGCAGCAGAACTGTGTTTAGTCCATCCTGATCGCAGAAGTTACCCTCAAGGGAAATGAACTTGCTAAGCTGGAAGCCCAGATGCAGATCACTGTGAAAGTGAGAAGTGGGGACAGATGTCCCTGCCAGAAGGTCTGTGTGCTCAAGTCTGGTTTAACCTGTCTTCCCTGCTGTTAAAAGATAGAGCCGAGTCAGGCTCCATTAGAAGTCTTTTGTTTCTTGTGAAATCTTTTGTTGTGGGACAGTGTTTCTGCCCTATTTGTCCTCTCCCAGTTCTGGTTTGCCAAGCCACTCATCTCTCTTCAACCAGATCCCTAACTCCAGACTCGCTTCATGTGTAATGCTCACAGTAAGTGAGTCAAAATACAGGACTATGTAGCACTTTAAAGACTAACAAGATGGTTTATTAGATGATGAGTTTTTGTGGGCCAGACCCACTTCCTCAGATCAAATAGTGGAAGAAAATAGTCACAGCCATATATACCAAAGGATACAATTTAAAAAAATGAACACATATGAAAAGGACAAATCACATTTCAGAACAGAAGGGTGATGCAAGGGGGGGGGGGGGGGAGGAAAGGAAGGTGAATGCCAGTGAGTTAATGATATTAGAGGTGGGGAAGGGTAGATGTCTGTGAGTTAATAGTATTAGAGGTGATAATTGGGGAAGCTATCTTTGTAATGGGTAAGATAGTTGGAGTCTTTGTTAAGTCCCCTGCGGAGAGTGTCGAATTTTAGCATGAATGCCAGTTCAGAGGATTCCCTTTCAAGTGCAGATTTGAATGTCTTCTGAAGTAGGATGCAGGTTAGCAGGTCATTCAGACAGTGTCCTTTCTGGTTGAAATGACAAGCAACTGTTTTTTCTTTGTGATCCTGTCTAATGTCTGTTTTGTGGGCATTGATTCTTTGGCGGAGTGTCTGAGACGTTTGTCCAATGTACATAGCAGACGGACACTTTCGGCACATGATAGCATAGATTATATTTCTGGAGGCGCAGGAATATGTATTCTTGATCTTATAACTCACTTGGTTAGGCCCAATAATGGTGTCAGCAGAGTGAATATGTGGACAAAGCTGGCAGTGGGGTTTGTTGCAAGGGAAAGTACCAGGGTTGGTATTAGTGTGGTATGTCCTGTGGTTGTTGGTAAGAATCATCTTGAGGTTAGGTGGTTGTCTATAGGAGACTATGGGTCTGTCTCCCAGAGCCTCTTGGAGCTTAGTATCCTGTTCCAGTATAGGTTGTAATCTATTGATAGGTTGTAATCTATCTTCTGTTGCCTAGCCTCATTGCCAACACTTCCACTGCTTACGGGGCTGTTAGAAGACACTTAGGGGAAAATTAAAGCTAAATAACATCACAGAACACTGAGAGCCAGGACTGGTGCTTGCAAACAAAATTTATGGGACCGCGGGAAACTTGGCAACAACCATGATAAGCGGATATCAAGCTAACTAAAATCATGCTGGACAATGGATATTGCCAGGCCAGAGATGCCGGACTAGAGAGGTTCTACCCGTACTGGTACACTAAAGTCAGTTCAATTACATTATAGTA